AATTAGCAAGACTTGCGGGGCCCCGGGCCCGCGGTACAATTCTGAAAAACGTCGGGATGGGCCGGTTCGAAAGTTAAAAATTGAATTTGGGGATAGGCGGGATCGAGACTTAATATTTAGTCCCATGCCCATCTCTACTTTCAATCTCTGCGCCACACACTGATCCAACAATCATTCAATGCGATTTAGAAATCTGGTAGAAAATGGTTCCAATTGAATGATTCTTGCCGTTTTATATTATAGATGTAGGTGTATCAAATTCCATTACCTTATCATATATGGTTCCAGATATAAGTGATATGGAATTTGCATTTCGGTTCGGTATTGATAACATATGCAGCTGCGTACAATCTCAGAACGTCAGCACAAGCGGATACACAGATGAGCGAAATGAGAAGTTCAGCTTGTATGGGAGGTGCCTCGCCCCCTTTTTCAATACCTACCGCTTTTCGCCATAAGTACGGTATTGATAGCATATGTGGCTGTGTCACATTTCAGGACGTTGGCATTAGCGGTTTTAGAGGTATGCGATAGGAGAATTTCAGTTTGTATGGGCGGTGCCTTTTCCATTATCTACCACTTTTCACCGTAAGTACGGCATTGATAGCATAGTTGCTGTGTAAAATTTCAGCACGGTATCATAAGCAGTTGCAGGATAAGCGATATGAGAATTTCAGTTTTTATGGGCGGTGTCACGCCCCCTTTTCCAAAATCGACCACTTTTCGCCGTAAGTACGGTATTGACAACATAAGTTAGTGTGTCCAATTTCAGGACGTTAGCATAAGTGGTTCCAGAGATAAGCGATATGAGAATTTCACTTTGTATGGGAAGTGCCACGCCCACTTTTCCAGTACCTATCATTTTTCACCGTAAGTAGGGTATTTACAATCTATGCATCTGTGCTAAGTTTCAGTTCTCCAGCATAATTGGTTTTAGAGATATAGTGGTTTTCACATTTTAGTCTATATGTCACATGCCACGCCCTTTATGTATCGGGATTAACATTTCTGGATTAGAGCAAGTTATATCCTTTAAATCGGTGTATGTTTCATTGAAATTGAGCGAACGGCGCCTTCCGAAAAGGGATTGCTAAATTTTCTTGTGGCGTATTTATATATAGAGATAACGTTAATTTTAATGGTAAACATTATTATTGATTTCTAATAGATATTTTATGAGTTCTTCGATGGATTTGATTTCTACCCACCCTTAATTTCAAAAGTATTGAATTATTGAAAGTGTTTAAAACAATGTTTAAATATGTTTAAAACATGTAAATTAAAACATTTATGAAAAACTTGTTTGAAACATGTTTTTTCTAACCCTGTATACGAGATTAGTTCGCATAAAGGGTGAACACACCAAAACTGCGACACTTTGGGAAGCTTATAACTTACCCAAAACGAATTCAATATTTTGAAATTCAAATACCATAAGTTGACCAAGACCTTAGATGTACGTAGAAGAAATTTCATTTGAATTTGATTCCTAGTTGAGTTAAAAATGGCAACCGAGCTAGAAACGAGATAAACCATTTTGCACGAGTTTATAAATGATCCGGCCTTAAGTACACGTAAACTTGCTAAAAAATTAAAGAGTGCACTATTCGACAGTTTGCAGGGTTTTAATCGGTACAAATAAGGCCTGACAGTTACGAGAAAACCAGGGAGCGGGGGTTAGCATGGTCAAAGTGATAAAAACAGTGCTCGGAAGGTCCTCAGTGCGTTTTCGCGAGATCCGAAGATTTTGTCGCGTTATGTTGCAAAATCCGTACGGAGATCGCAGTT